GCCAAGCTGGGAAAATGCCAACCACCATGAACCAAATAGCTTAATTCACCACCTCTGTGGCAGGTTCATTCTTCACTTACCTACAATGTTCCCGAGAAAGAGACCAGGAAGAATCTGGAAAAAGATTTAAAAAAAAACACATATTAGTGTAGAAATTTTTTATCATTCACAGTACAACACTTTAACCTGGCCTACCAAGGAATTGAACAGGTCACAGATTCATCGCTTGCCCTCGGAAGTTGTGGGAGCTTCATCCCTGGAGGCTTCCAGGAAGAGATTGGACTGCCCTCTGTCAGAAATGGTGTAGGTTCTCCTGCTTGGGCGGGGGGTTGGACTAGATGACCTACAAGGTCCCTTCCAACTCTGATTATCTGTCATCTGTTAACATCCCTTCGGCCAAAGCCAGCCCTTGGGCATCCCTAAACCCTAAACTGGGGTTTTAGCCAATACAAATATTGGCTTCAGGTGGCATGCGAGGCCTGAAGAAATAAATTATATTCAGATTTAATATAATTTATTTCTTCAGGCCTCGCATGTCACCTGAAGCCTATGTTTGTGTTGGCTAAAACCCCGTGTCAACCAGGAAGGAACAGGATAAAAAAATTAAATAAATTTCAGAGCGACAGATCCAAAGCCCCCGACAGCTCATTTTTCACGCAATCCTCAACTTTATGACCGCAACTGAGCATCCGCTGCTAAGCAAAACATCCATTTAGTGACATGTTGCCTCATTTTACGACCTTTCTTGCTACAGTTAAATGAATCCCTGCAGCTGATAAGTTAGTCACATGGTCGTTAAGTGAAGCTGGACTTCCCCGTTGACTTGGCTGGTCAGACGGTCGCAAAAGGGGATTGCGTAAACACCCCCGGCGCTGCGACTGTCGTAAATACGAGTCAGTTGTCCATGCGGCTGAATTTTGATCACGTGACTGAGGGGTCATCACTGAAAAATGATTGTAAATCACTTTTTCAATCCTGTTGTAACTTTGGTCACTAAATGAATGGTTGTAAGTGGAGGACCACCTGTAATTTATTTCTCCAGGCCCAACATGTCGCACGTGTGGGTTAAAAAACCCAATTTTTGGCTTTAATGTCTCGCGCAAAGCCCGAACAACCAGGAACAAGGGAAAATAAATAAATAAATTTTAGATTCAAAGCCATCCAGCTGAATTTTTGATGCCTCCAGGTAGAATTAGAACTCGTGTCTCCTATTTCCTGGTCCAGAACTTTCCCCGCTACACCCCCCACCCCACCCGGTGACTCACAAGAGAACTTCATCCAGGTGAGCCACACCTTCGATTTTATATCAAGAAAGGTGATCTATTGAAGGAAGTTGACAATATGACAACTTCTCTCGGATGTCAAAAAGGAAGTGTGGTTATTGGACCCACAAGGGATTTGTCTTCGGTGCATAAGCTCTCAGTGTACATAAACACAAAAATAAACATACATTCATCAAGAATCCTAAGATACAATACTTGCTGATAGTCCTAGGTTACTGAATAAGCCATCAAATCATACTAGGAAACAAATAAAACAATATAAATTGTAAAGATAAACTAAATAATCATTTATCTTTATAATAAATAAGTAAGTAAATGTAAATGTAAAGAACAACTAGACACAAGAACAGTTTTTTCCCAAATGCTATCACTCTGCTAAACAACTAATTCCCTCAACACTGTCCAACTATTTACTAAGACTATTACTATTCTTCTTTTCGTCCTTCCTATCTCCTTTTTTACTTACGACTATAACTCTAACCCTAACCCTAACCCTTGTATCTTTACAATGTATATTGTTTTATTTGTTTCCTAGTAGGATTTGATGGCTTATTTAGTAACCTAGGACTATCACTAAGTGTTGTATCTTATGATTCTTGATGAATGCATGTTTATTTTTTCCTTTATTTACACTGAGAGCATTTGCACCAAAGACAAATTCCTTGTGTGTCCAATCACACTTGGCCAATAAAGAATTCTATTCTATTCTATTCTATTCTATTCTATTCTATTCTACTCTACTCTACTCTACTCTACTCTACTCTACTCTTTTTCTGTTCTGTTCTATTCTATTCTATTCTATTCTATTCTATTCTATTCTATTCTATTCTATTCTACTCTACTCTACTCTTTTTCTATTCTATTCTATTCTATTCTATTCTATTCTATTCTAATCTATATTCTTTAGTTTACTTTATTGTCATTGCACTACAATGAAATTAAATGCCATCTTCAGGAAATCTATTATTCTATATTCTATTCTATTTTATTCTCTATTCTATGCTATGCTATGCTATGCTATGCTATGCTATGCTATGCTATGCTATGCTATTCCTATGCCTATTCCTATTCTATTCATTATTCTATTCTATTCTTTCTTATTCTGTTCTATTCTATTTCTGTTTTCTATTTTTTATGTTCTATTCTATTCTTTTATATTCCTATCGTATTATATTTTCTCTCTATTCTATTCCATTCCATTCCATATTTTCTTTTCTCTTCTCTTCTCTTCTCTTCTCAAACACTCATTGTAGTTGTCGGATGTAATTTGGGGAAAGGGCACTTTTAACATGCTTTTGTCCTTCCCTTTTCTGTCCTGCTTTCAAATGCAGGATGTCCAAACTTCACCAAGAAGTTATAAAAAAATATATCTTAAAAATCCTGATGCCCTACCTACCTTATTCATGCCGTTCCCCATAATCCTTCAAAGTGACCTTAGCAAATCGCCAGCCAAACCGAATGAACGTCCTGGGCACGATTTGCCCCCCCCTCTCTTGATCCAAATGTCCGGTGATGGCCACTTCCCTGGGGCAGGCAGGCTCTGGGTGAAAATTTACACCCCTAGGCTGGCAGCCCTCGGGGTGTCTGTGTGTGAGTGTGTGTGAGACAGCTGCGTATTTTGTGGCCTGGAATAAATCTGCAGAGGCTGTGTGTGTGTGTGTGTGTTGCACTGTCCTTTCTTTCTCCTTTCCTCCTCCTCCTCTCGCTTGCTCATCCAAGGAGCTGCTCCTATCAAAATGCCTTTTTTCCAGGGTTGGAAAAATCCCACCTCCTTGCCAATGGAGATGCGTGGGGGGCGGGGTGGAATTGGGGGTGGGTGGGGGGAAAGAATCACCCTGGCCTGGTTGCGTGGCTGTTGCGAGCGCACAACGCAAACCCTTGTGTGCAAGAGAATAGATTCTTTTGTCTCGCCCAGAAGGAAGCCGCGGCTTCACTGGCATCGTGGAGAGTTGGCATCGGACAGCGGGGTGAGGGTGGGATAGGGGGGGCAATAGGAACCCCCCCCCAGGATAGCCCATATTAAAGCAAAGTAAAGCCCCACCCCCAAGCCAGTTCTGGAAGGTCCACCAGATTTGGGTGGTTCTGGGCAGCCACGGGTACCACGGGCCGGTCAGCCAAGAGGGGAGGGGGCGTCTTTCTGGGCTGAGCCTGGAGAGGCATTCCAGGAAGCGTGGGGGGGGGGGGGGGGGGGGGGGGGGGGGGAGCGGGGGGGGGGGGGGGGGGGCTCACCTGCCCAAAATAGAGCCTGCAAAAGATCGAGGCCACCTTGCCCCACTGTGATAGGGGAGTGGGGGAGGGGAAGGGAACGGGTTCCAGTTTCAGCCATGGGCCCTTGGGAATCTGTTGGGGGGGGGGGCGGGTGGCAGGAAGAGGGGCAGGCAGAGCAGAGGGGGCCAGGGAGTCTTGCTTTGGTTTAGGATCAGAGTCAGCTGGAAGGGAGCTTGGAAGGTCTTCTAGTCCAGCCCAAGGCTCGAGCAGGAGATCCTATCCTTTGAAAGCAGTCAAGCCGTGGGACAGACGTTGCCTTCAGAAGTGGTGGGAGCTTCATCCCTGGAGGCTTTCAAGAAGAGACTGGACTGCCCTCGGTCAGAAAGGGTGCAGGGTCTCCCGCTTGGGCAAGGGGGGGGTTGGACTAGATGACCTTCAAGGTCCCTTCCAACTCTGTTAATCTGTTAAATCTAGGCTAAAACTTTCAAAAAGAGACTGGGCTGCCATCTGTCAGAAATGGTGTTGTAGGGTGTCCTGCTTGGGGCCGGGGGCTGGACTAGAAGACCTCTGAGGTCCCTTCCAACTCTTGCCATTCTGCAATTCCGTAAGGGTCTCCTCCCTGAGCAGGGGGCTGGACTAGAAGACCTCTGGG